GTTTCATGGAGGTTAAGTCAACTAGCAAAAGTCACACAGCTAATAATAATAACGGTGATAGCCAACACTTATGGAGTGCCTGTAATATGCAGCTTCAGTGGGACACATTAACGGATTTTAGAGCACAGGAGCTGTGGCTGATGGCTAGTTCTGCTCCCTGTGGTTGGGATCTGAGAGATGCATTCTCATGGCCACCAAATCCTCTAAATGTCAGAGTCAGAATTTTAATTCAAAATTTTTGGCAAAGCACTCAGGGACTCATCATTACCTTTGTCTTGCCGTTGAGAAGACTGAGATTCATCAGAGAGCCATAGATAGAAACTGGCCTTTATGAGTTTTCAGAACCAAAGCTTGTTTAGAGCTACCAGTGGGGTCTTTGTACCTGCATATTCTGGCCAAATCTCACCTCCATTTCTACAACATAGTTAAGAATTGGAGTGTGGATTCATTGAGATTGCTATCCAAGCATTGCCATAAGCCCTGGTTAAATGTCTGCTTGATAAGCCTGACAGTAACTATAGTGGGGCAATGAGAAAAGTGGAATGAAGGCCTCTATTATTTCTGGTATTCTTTTGTGGAGAAATTGGTATCCTTGATTTCATCATCAATGTACCTGGCAGTGAAAAATGCATTACTTATGAGAGTTCTCTATATAATCCACATGTGTTTCATGTAAAATATTTAATCCCAATGTGAAACAGAAAATGCAGCAATATTTTTTTGAAAGTGTCATATTTCCCCCTCACTGGAGTAGCTAGAGGGAAAGACAGAAGATAACCATTAGAGAAGGGAGATTTTGAACAATGGAAGAGAGTCTTACAAATGATCACATTCCTGGTATTATCTTTTTACAGCCAAATTTGGTTAAAGCTACAGCAGCTCTCACCAGTCATGGAGGGCATCTGTCTGCAGAAAAGTTTTCAAAGATTAGGTTCCATTTTTTGGCTACTTGTGTCATTTTAGCCCTCCCTTCATTATACAGATTTTTTTTTTTTTGGTACAGTGAATAGAAAAATAAATAAAAATATAAAAGCAGCATTTCCCAACTGTGTTCCTTAGAAAATTTGGGTCATAGTATGTTTAATTGATTCAATGCCATTTTATTATTTATTTTATTATTCAAATTTTATTATTCAAATAAAATTCTAAGAGCAAATAAGACTGCAGAAAAGTAGATTAAACAAAATTAAACAGAGTCTTGATTACAGGACTATACTGAGCCTTAATTATGATATTGTTAAGTTAAGACTTTCCAAGCAAGTCATGTCTGTAGAATTTATATGTACTTATTTTATTTATATATACATATATAGTCTATGACTCTCCAAGGAAGTAATATATAAATCATTTTATATATATAGTTTAAAATACATAGATATTTATATATTCTAACATATTTTCCTGTGAGCTCTTTTTACAGATAGCATCTTATGGGAGTCATGTTTTATAAGAAAGCAGTGTGAAACGCTGATTTAGAATGATAGATCAATATAATCTATATAGATTATATATACGAAAATATATAATAAATACATCCTATATTGATTTAGTCGGGGTACTTGAAGCTAAAGGTCTCACTGTTAAGGACTGAGACTCCTCTGGAATTTATAATGTCTGCTCTCTTCTTAGTCTAACATCCTTACATGCATTACTGTGAACCAGCAGGATGTCAATTTGGGACATATTCACCATGGAGCTAGCATAGAAACAGGGCAAAGAAGTAAGAGGCCTGCTGGAGTATCATTAAGAACAGGTGCTTGGGGCCGGCCCCGTGGCTTAGCGGTTAGGTGCACGCGCTCCGCTGCTGGCCGCCCGGGTTCGGATCCTGGGTGCGCACCGATGCACCGCTTCTCTGGCCGTGCTGGGGCCGCGTCCCACATGCAGCAACTGGAGGGATGTGCAGCTATGGCATGCAACTATCTGCTGGGGCTTTGCGGGGGAAAATAAATAAATAAAAAAAAAAAAAAAAAAAAAGAACAGGTGCTCGAATCAGGCAGACTTCCCCAACAATTATAGTTAATATTGTGAGCCTCAGATAGGGCATATCAGGTAAACACACCCCTGGAAAATGCAGGTATGCACAGCCCTGGTGAGAGGTGCCTGAAGAAAACCTTTTTGGTTAGGACATGCCACTCCTTACAAAATGGAACACAGAGACTCCTCTTGTCTGGACATTTCACCCTCCATACCCAGATCCATTATACAAAGGAATGAAACAGAGGCAGCTGAATGGGCTCTATGTCATGGCTGCAAAGCACAACCTTCATGGCTAGTACATTCTTGTGTCATCCCTTGGGACTAGACTCCAGCTCTTCCTATGAGCAGCACACAGTGCTAGCCACCTAGCCCTCCTCCCCTGCACCATTACAAGCCCCACAGCATCTCCAGCTTGCCCATTTCAGAAGAGAGCTGGATCTGCTCTAACGCAGGGGCCCCAGGTTCACTTGCCAGTGATTGCAACTGAGAGGCCTCAAATGCTAATCACTCAGCAGAAACTAGAGCAACTAAATTGTAAATGCCATGAGAGAAAAGACTAATTTTTAAAAATTTCCCTATTACCATCCCATAAAATCCAGTCCTGAATTAAGGAGATACTCAACTCCCAAAGCTTACTGTCAGAGAGGACCAGTGAAGCGGGGTGAAATGAAACCAGACAAGAAAGGCATAACACAAAATAGTGAGTCACAGTGGCATATTCCTTAAGATTAAATGACATACTCATTAATTCTTTCACCCATCTATTCAACAAACATTTATAGGAATCTCCATGATAGGTCTCAGAGGGACAGAAATGAGAATGAAAGTTTCTCAAGGAGTCCAGTCTGTCCAACTGTTTTTCACATGCTGGAATGCATATGAATTACTGGGAATGATGGTTTAAAATGCAGATCCCTGGTCACACCTCCATAGATTCTCCTTAGGTCTGGCTGGGGCAGGTTCTAAGAGTCTTCATTGTTTTCTATGGAGATTATGATGCCTGCATCTATGGGATATATGGAACACTAACCAGGCACCTAGCAGCCAGAGGGCCCTAGTAAGTCTATTCTGAATGGACTGAGTGGTTAAGAGCATAATGCTTAGGAGCATTTCCTTCAGACTCAGGCGACCTGAGTTCAGATTCTGGCTCCATTACTATCTATTTGACCTCAGGCAAATGACTTGAACTCTTTAAGACCCAGTTTCATTTGAAATAAAATAGGGATAATATTTCTTATCCCATGGGATTATTTTGAGAATAAAATGAGATAATGTGTGTCTGCCACATTACTTGGCACATAATAGGTGCTCAATGCATAGTTCTAACAGTAATAATAATTATTGCTGTCAGTGGTGTTATTATTATCACTACCATAGTAATTCACCACAATTAAGCTATATTAATCAATATTAGTTATGTATAAATTTAATGTAAAATTACATATTTACTACATAATTCACATATTATTAATCATATTAATTGTAGTATAGATTAATTACATTAATACTTATGATCAGCAGAGATTATGACTTTCATAAATCCAAGAGAGGAATTCATGGAATTTTCTATAATGGAATAGTGAAGGCATCCTCTGAAAAATCCTTCCATTTCCTACAGGGTGAGATTTACCATCTCTCTTACATATTAATTTGATATAATATCAATGTAGAATCTTTGCAATGTAGAATTGTAACACTTTGACTAGGAAGGAGAAAAGAAAAAGAAGGATGTGGGGGAAGTGGTGTTGAAAACACAGAGAGGGGAGAGAAGTGACTGCTCTGCTTTGTATAGCCTGTAATATACCCACACCAGCCTGGTGTGGGCAAATGCTTGATCCTGTGGGATGGGCATATGCTTTGGAGCTAAATTTACTTTGGCTTAAATTTTGTCTTTATCACTTCCTAGAAGAAAACAGAACAGGTTAGCAGATAGAGTGTGTTTTCTAACACAATTTGAAGATCTTCATCATGTAAAGACGGTAGTAAATGGGAGGTCTTCTGTAAAATGTCCCCCTCTGTCATTTTTGCAGTTGTTGTTTATTTGTCTGTTGTTGTTTTTAAACTTACATAGTTTCAAAGACAAAAGAAGACTATACATCCTTTTTCCCCCATAATTTTCACAATTTTCTATTTGAAAAGTAACTCCTTTCTTAGGATAAAGTAATATTAAATATAGAAAATTTAGAAAATATGGAAAATCTTTTAAAAATGAGATAATAATCACCCAAATATTCACTATCTAGATGTAACCATAATTAAAATTTGGTGCTTAGTCTTTTTTACCTTTATCATTTTTTTATCACTGAGCTCAAAAGATATGCACAATTTACATTGTTTTCCCTTAATATCACATTACAGGAATTTCACGTATCACACATAAACGTAATACTTGGTGGCTGAATAATTCCATTCTTCCTCACCTATAATTTACCAACCTCATATTTTGGAAAAATTCACTATGTTAAGAGGTACAATAAGGAATAATTTTATACATGATACTTACATAAATATTATTTTTCTTTTGGATAGACTCTTGGAAATAGAATTACTGAGCGAAGTGTATGACTATTTTAAAATTTGCAAGACATGTTAATAAATTTCTTTCCATACAGGTTGTGCCAATGCTCACTCCATTATCAGAATAAAAGTACTAATTTAACTGATAACTAGATATATTAAATGTGCTTTGACTAATATATTGGCCATTATATTTCTTTTTCTGCAAATTATACAGTCCCTTCTTTTGTCCAATTAGCTATTGAACACTTAATTGATGTTGGTTTCTTCCTTTCTTCTTTCCTCCCTTTCTTCTTTTTTTCCTTCCTTTCTTTCTTTTCTTATTAAAAAGTGAAATTTCAGATTTTTCAGGGGTTAGTCTTGAATAATTAAGTATATTACTTGTTCAAGCACAACCTAGAAGCATGTTTCTACTCCCTCCTGCAGTAGTGTTATAGAAAGATTACACCAATTTTCACTTTTAGAATTCTCTTTGATGACAAATATATTAATATTTCCTGTTCCAGGCCGACCCAAAATGTGGCAGCTTTTAGCAGCAGCATGCTGGATGCTTCTTCTTGGACCTGTATATGGTTATCACAAGAGAGGAAGCATCACAAATCCTGAAGCCAACATGAATATTGTAAGTCATTCATTAAGGGAAAAAAATTAAGATAAGGGGTTATTAATTTGTCATCATTTTAGATATAATTGGGGTGCCTGTCTAGTTTTCAACAATTCTAAACTAAGTCTGTGCGTCCTCCTCTGTTCTTGGTATGGCTAACTAATCTAAGAGTTGAAGGACCTGACCCAAGCTTGGGCAGTAATGTTCCCTCTCCTGATAGTTTGAGCTACCATCTGATGGTGGTTTCCTGAAGAGAAGGTTCATGGGTTCATACTGATCATCTCTATAGAGTATCCTTGAGTTCTTTCTGAAGCTTTTTCTGGAGCAGTTTTTTTTTTTTTTTTTTGTGAGCTATAGCAGTGTACTTTTTTAGTTTAGTAAACCAGAATTGATTTTGGTTGCTTATAAATAAAAGTATCTTAACATGAAGGAATTCATACCAGAAGAGGAATGGAATAGAATGGAATGGAATAGAATGGAATGGAAAAGAGTACAATGGAATAGTGTTAAGCAAAGAAAAAAACAATAAAACAAAACCAAAACAAAAGTGAATGACAAGTCTCCACTATAGGCTTCATTCCAATGGGATATTCCATATTCCTGTATACATTGTGCACCATTGATGTCCTCACCCAGACCCAAGTTGGTATTAGAACTTTAAGAGTGTAACTGTCAAAGTTTTTTAATGAGCATCTCTTCTTGTTCCTCTCTCCAAAGTGTCCAGCTGGTACCCCTAACTTCCTACCACACTGCTGAACTCACAGTCCAAGAATATATGTCCTCAAATTCAAATTTTCTTCTTCTTCCCATATTCACACACATTTTCTTTCTGCCTGGTATGGGTGCTTTTTGGTTCTTAATTATTCTATAATGATAATAACAATAATAAACATTTATAGAGCACTTACTTTGTGGCAGGCACTGTTCTAGATACTTTATGTATAATCCTCACAGCAAATCTGTGAAGAAATACTATTATTATCTTTATTTTATAGTGGAGAAAAATGAGGCACAAAAGGATTAAGTAACTTGTACAAAGTTACATAGCTAATAAGAGGAAGAGCTGGAATTCAATACCATACAGTTTATCTCTAGAGTGTGGACTCATAACCACTGCTTTCTATAGCCCCATAATATGGAGACACCTCTTGTGTGCCTGGCCCGGGCAAATGCCTAAATCCTGCAATGAAGGCATATGCTTTGGAGCTAAACTTACTTTTGCTTAAATTTTGTACCTATCTCTTCCTAGTGTACAATCTTGGAAAGATTATTAATCTTCCTGAAATTCAGTTTTCTCAACTGTAAAATGGGTACAATTCTATCTCAAAGGCCTGTTGTAAGGATTAATAAAACAGAGGATATAAACCATCACCTATGCAGAAGATGACCATTAAATAGTAGTTCCCCTCTTCCTTGTGTATCTGTGGATGGGGTATATTCCGTTTACCACTCTAGATCTACTCTCTATTATTTACACCTTTCTCTTTGCCCAAGAGACTGACCTGTCAGAACTAGGTTAACAAGCTCCCTTGACCTTCCATTTTAAGTTCAGTTCAGCCACTGGAAATATTGAGCAGGAGATCAGAAGGAGGGAGGAGAGCGAGATCAGCTGATTTATTGCCCTGGCTCCCTCCAAATGGTCACCGTATGCAGGCTGTTTCCTTCTGCTAAAGGTCACAGCTCCTCTCAGGGTGGCCCTCTCTACTTGACTTTCTCATTCTGGGTCTGGTAACCACTTCCTTCCATCTCCTGTCAAATTGAAAGTTGGTAACAGGTCACTTGTTACTAGCCACAGGGTACTGCATAGTCCTCTGGGGTTTCCCTCATTAGACAACCATATAATTTTTTGTCAAACATTCTGAGAGTGAACTAAGGTGCATTAATAATACCAAGCCAAGCAAGGCAGGATGTATGGTCACCCACTTTGCCTTACCCACGCCTTTGCATGTATCCTCCTTCTAAAAAGCCTCCTCAAGTTACCTGATTTTCCTACTACAGTCTGTCCCAATACATAGATGAACTGTTGGTTGTGACTTCAAGTACTGTGTTCAATGTATGTATAAAAATCAAGAGATAACATCATGAAGGCATACATTTTCTTTTCCTTCTTTCAGAGCCAGATTATTTCCCACTGGGGTTATCTTTATGAAGAGTATGATGTTGTGACAAAAGATGGTTATGTCCTCGGAATTTACAGGATTCCTCATGGAAGAGGATGTGCAAGGAGAACAGGTAGAATTTATTTTGTAATGCAAGGAATAATGCCTAAAGTAGAGATTCCTACATGTGCTGATGGACAGCATCAGGGCAGCTTTTGTTCTGAAATAGATCCTAGCCTCTTCCCTTAGAGGAGGAAACTTGTCACCTCCACCTCTAATAATCCATTTCATTTGTATAATACTTGGAGTTTTTAAAGCATTTTCCTATACACTATTAAGTTTTTCCTTTTCTCCATCACTTTGTCCTCCTTCCAAACAAACATAAAAACAAAAGAAAACTTGACCTTACTCTAGAAATATCACTTTCCAGGCTTAAAAACCAGACACCTAGGAGTAATTTTTGATACTTTCTTCTCTCTCACCACCTATATCCAGCCAATCACCAAGATCTATCAATTTTGCCTTCTAAATTTCTCTCTCATCTGAAAAGTTCTCAACTTCACTATTGCTCAAGTCCTGGCTTTGACATCATCATCATCTTTTGCTTCAGCTACTAAAATAACTTTCAGTTATTTCACTTATAATTAGTTCTCTACCCAAGTCAGTGGGATTTTATTTTTTTAAGTAAATATGACTTTATTAGTTCTATACCTAAACTTAAATGACAGCCATTTCTAGCTCCCTATGTAACCATGGGCCCATTTAGAGCCAGTTCGAACAGACCCCATCTCTTATCAACAAAGTGATTAAGGATTGTCTTTCAGAAAAACTGCAAAGTCATGTAGCCAGGGAATGCACAAAAGAAGAAATTGTGACCTGAAACAACCTCAGAACCAAAGATCCTCCTTCTACAGAACCCAAGGCCTGGGACATGACCAGAAATTGAAAGTTGGACTCTTATCAGAAGCAAGGGGTCCCTTATTCAGGAAGATTCAGTGTTGAAATTCTTTCCCCACTTCATGCAAAATATTTAGAACCTCATCATAAAGGTTTAAAACCTTACCGTAAATACCTGAAGCCGACTAATCAAAACCTGTCCCCCCAGTATCTGCGCGTGCCAACCTGTTCTCCCTAACCTTTTAAATCTCATCCCGAATCCTGAATCAGGGAGACAGTTCTGAGTGCACATGCCCCCTGTCTCCCTGGAGATCAAGCTTGCAGAATAAAAGCTGATTTCTCCCCTCAAAGGCTGGTGCCATAATTAATTGGCTTGTTTATGTGCATCAGGCAGAGAACCCCAATTTTGTGTGGTAACACCTAAAATACAGTTTAATATCTGTAGAGGGATCTGTTACCAAGCAAGGGCTCTCTCCACCTGTGCACACAAAAGCCGATACTGTGGTATACCAGTCTTTGAGGGAAGAAAGTTTATTATGCAATTGATTGATAAGGAGACAGAGGGCAGGCTCTCAACTCTGTCTCCCCAATCCAGGGTATGGGGTAAGGTTTAAGGGATCAAGGAAGGCAGGCTGATATGTGGAAGCACTGGCAGGATGAGTTTCCATTGGCAGATCAAAATATTCTCTTCTGCACATACTCCTGGCTGGCTCCCTGCCTCTGAAAAGTAGCTTTAACATTCTGTTGTTAGGATGAGGTCAGCACAGTAAACAAGGGTAAAGTCATTGCCTTCTCTATTGATAAGAGTTTCTAGCAATTTAATCATCCTCTCCTACCTGGCACAGAGAGGAAGGCACCCTTACAAATGGAGGTTTCTCCTATAAATGTAAATTTCCCTTACAAATGTGTAACTTCTATTAGGTTTTCAGAGCTTTTCCCTGTGTCTGCTATTTCTTAAAAGTAATAAGCCTAAAATAATTCTTGTGTCAAAAAGGCATATTTTGGGGTGACAAATTCTGTTCCTAGTATGTGGCTACAGATCCACTTGGCAAGAACTGTTTGCTTTCTTCTCTTATTTCTTAGCTCCTTTTATTCTTTGGAGTGTTGTATAACAAAACTTCTCAATATCAGAAAGGTTAACCATTTAAAGAGAAAATCTAGAATTGTAAAAAAAGAGGGAGATGGAATGGTGTTGAAGATTTTACAGAACCAACTTTCCCCCAAATAACTCCATTACCTTTATAAATACTCATGAGAACTTTGTTTTCCCAAACTTTTCTCTTATCATTCCTGCCAGGTAGCTGCCAAAATGTTACCTCCCAAGGGAGGTCGTCTGCCTACCACAAGACATGCCAATAGTCAAGAGGCAAGGAGGTAGGAGAGAAAGGACCCCCTTTTCTCTTTTCTGTAATATAAAGTTGGGCTTTTTTCTTACAACTTGCTAGCAAGGGGGTAGATGACCGACTAATGTCCAAAAGAACCATCTTAAGGGGGACACAGAATCTTGAAGCAGTTATATAGGCCACTGGGTTAGAGGGGAGGAGGTTAAGAAATGTTGAACCCCCTGGTGTTGCACACTCAGAATTACCACACTAGATCTTTCAGTTGTCATGGATATCAGCACAGATTCTCTGTCCAGAGGCCATCACCTTCCTAGAGAACTCAAAAGAACAAAGTTATCATCTTATTGCAGCTGGGAGGGGCCATAAAATCTACAGAGCCTGAAAATCCCTGGAGACAGACCCTTATTTATCTAGGCAAACTAAAGCAAAGAGTCAAAGGGGCTGGTGAGTCAGGGTTATTCATAGTTCCAACATGGCTTTCTTTTCTACGATATGGCTTCCCTTATGACAACCTTGTGTTAAGCCGGTGTCAAAAATGAGTGAGATGGAAAGCTGTCTCTACAATGAGAAGCTGCCTGAGGGCTCAGATGAGAGATGATGAGAGACGGGCTCTGGGCTATGAATGCTCTTTGGCAGTAATTTAGCAGAATTAGTAACACCTCTTCTTTCTGTTTTCTCAAAAGGTACATAAATGGACATAGACTCTTAGTTCCTTGATTCCAGATGGCTGAAGGGTCTCTGAGAGTCCAGTCTAGCCTACCCAATCTCAGGAAGCTGATCTAGTCCCAAAAGTGATCTGAGGGACAGTCCTGAGGTACCCACACAGCATCACAAACCATTTATAAAGACAGGAAAACCCTGGTCACTTCTCTCTCTCCTCTGTGTTTTCAACACCATTTCCCCACTTCCTTCTTTTTTTTTCCTTCTCTTTCTTAGCCAAATTATTCCAATTCTACATTACAAATAGGATTTTTGTTTCAAATTAACAATTTTACATTGCATAACACTTCATTTAAAACCTTGCATTTTGCTTTCTGACCATACAAATTAAATTAAGCAGTGTGTGTAAAATCTAGCATAGTGCCTGGCATTCAGTAAACATTCACCCAGTGACACTTTTATTCTTTTTATTATTATTTTGGGAAAAACTTACTTTTTTAATCAGATGCTTCTTGAGAAATACAACGTTATTAATATGAATAATAACAATAGAGAAAATTTATTGTGCTGAAGAGTCATTTATGTATTTTAATTCTAATTTAATTCTTATGGCTACACCATGAGATTATATTTGTTAATATTCCCTATTGTAAAGATAAGTTAACTGAGGCACAAAGGGGTTATTACATAGCAGAATACATTTTGAACCAGACAATCTGGCTCCAGCACCTACAGAACAACATAATTCACTATATATAATTCCAATTTTACAAAGAGAAAAACAAGACATAGAGAAGATAATTAACTTGCCCAAGTAAGTAGTTCAGAAGGGACTAGAACCCAGGTTTACCTGGCGCCAAATTTCATCTTGTAACCTCTCTTCTATGCTATAGGAAGTCAGGAAAGAGAATTTTCTTGTAGACACTAAGGAAATTCAGACACAAAATTCTTGTTGCCTGTGTTTTGCAGCTCCAAAGCCTGTTGTGTATTTGCAACATGGTTTAGTTGCATCTGCCAGTAACTGGATTTGCAATCTGCCAAACAACAGCTTGGCTTTCCTTCTGGCAGATAGTGGTTATGATGTGTGGATGGGGAACAGCCGGGGAAATACCTGGTCCAGAAAACACTTGAAATTTTCACCAAAATCACCAGAATTCTGGGCTTTCAGGTAAGGAGATAAACCTACTAATGAATAAAGTGTGTGCTTTGCTCATTTATATGGATGAACACCTTTTGATTTTTCCCTTTCTGTCCAAATGCACCCAATGGAATCCACAAGAAAGAAAGAAATATTTTTTCCTCTATCGAGGCTTTCTTCACAAGCTCTGAAGAAATGCACTGCTATTATTGCAGTTATTTGTTTAAAAAATCCCACTTGCTGGTATGTGTGTGTATGCAAAACATATATGCAAAAAAAAAATAAAAATACAGAAGTCAACTTTAGAAAGGTTAATTCCAGGACTGTCACTTTGTCAATGTGGAATCCCAAAGGAAATTTATATGGTACCCTTACTATAGAGGAAAAATGAAAGTGATCAAGAAATGGAACCAGAAACAAGGTTCTGGTTGAAAATCCTGAGAACCAGACATTCATAATAAACCAAGACAGAGCCTAGTCTTCATGCATAGATGACACTCAAATGTTTATTCACTGAATAGTGAAGGAACTCTGCCCTCCATAGGCTAGTGGTGCTGAACACTGTTCCTGGCAGTAAGGAATAAGCCTGAACACAAAGGATCAGAGCAGAGTTGCCAGCAGCAGCCCCTGGGGGCACTGTCTGCCCTAGAAGTCAGGCCAGCTTGGTCACAGCGACAAACCTCTGCACTTGCATCAGATCAGAGCTAAGAACCATGCCTTGAAGGTCACTAAAGCCATTTGTTCCTTGGCCTCATTCCTGCCTTATTTCTGGAAGCCATTTGGCATTTCTTAATTCCACATCCCAGTGGAGTAGTGTCATCACACTATTGCGAATAACATGATAATTCCCTAGGTGAATGTTTTCCCAACTACACACAGGAAAGAAACGCCTGAGGTGATTGAAAAATATGCCTCTTCCCTGGAAATTCTGATTCGGTCTGTCTGGGCTGATGTCTGCAAATCTGGTTGCTTTATTCTGTTTTTTAAATAAACATTCCAGGTAATTTTTCTTTTCAAGGGAATTTGGTATAGAATTAAGAGAAAAGCCTCTGTGGGTGTTTGCAAGTCAGATTTTTCTGATTCTAGTTTCTTAACAATGTTACTCTTGCAATCAAGGTAAGATTCTCAAATGTTGCACAGATGCATAATATCATATATTTATTCTAGTCTTACATTTAACAAAAGCTAAGTATTTATATCTGCAATGAATATGTTAAAAATATTGCAAGCCTAACAATGATATATTTTTTCCAATTTTGTTGTCTTTCTTTGGCAGTTTGGATGAGATGGCTAAATATGACCTTCCAGCCACAATCAATTTTATCGTAGAGAAAACTGGACAGGAGCGACTCTACTATGTGGGCCACTCCCAAGGCACCACCATTGGTGTGTTTGGGGCAGGCGTGATCTGAGAGTGTCAGGGGATCTTCTTCCATATTCATGAAAGGGATCAAGATTTCTCCCCTCTGTGCAGTCTCTAGCTTGGGAACTTGAGTTGGCAAGTAAAGTGAGGATGTCAATAGGGATTTTTCCCCCAGGACTGAATTTGGAGATTGCTGGATGAGCCTGAAGGAAAGAGAAGTATTTATTTATTCATTTGTGTACCCAGAAAACATTTGTCAGACACTGAGTTAGTTGCTGGAGAACCAGAGATAAATATGGTATGCATCTTTCCCTGAAAGAGCTCACAGTCTAGGGAGGGACACCAAAAAGAAAGCAGATAATTACAAATCTCGGTGATTATATGCCACAATCAGTGTTACTTTTAGCTCCCAATAGATGTCGGAGTAGGGTAGTCTATGTGGATGGGGCCACGTTGGCAGTGCCATGAGGCACTTCACTTCCTTCACAGCTCTCCATTCAGCTAGAGATATCGACAATACCAACAGCATTTCCACCAGTCTATTTTCTGTCTTAATTCTAATCAGATTTCTAGTGTAAGTTTCTATGTCCCTGTACTATAGTATGCATCTTACATGCATTCTCTCATTGGAAACTACAAACATTTAAGAGCATTATCACCCGTATTTTATAAGTGGCTGAACTTAGAAATCCTGTCCAATGGTAATAATGCCAAATAACACTTGAAGTGTTATACATACAGACAGTCCCCAACTTAACGATTGTTCAACTTACAGTTTTTCAACTTTACGATGGTGCGAAAGCAATATGCATTCAGTAGAAACCATACTTTGAATTTTGATCTTTTCCTGGGCTAGTGATATGCAGTACAATACTCTCTGGTGATGCTGGGCAGCAGCAGTGAGCCACAGCTCCCAGTCAGCCACGCAATCATGAGGGTGAACAATCGATACACTTACAATGATTCTGTATCCATACAACCATTCCGTTTTTCACTTTTAGTGCAGTATTCAATAAATTACGTGAGATATCCACCACTTTATTATAAAATAGGCTTTGTGTTGGATGATTTTGCCCAACTGTAGGCTAATGTAAATGTTCTGCGCACGTCTAAGGTAGGCTAGGCTAAGCTATGATGTTCAGTATGTTAGATGTATTAAATGCATTTTCAACTTATAATATTTTCAACTTACAGTGGGTATATCGGGACATAACCTTATCGTAAGTCAAGGAAGATCTGTATATAACTTAACCTTCAAAGAATCATCCCATATGGATTCTATTTTCCAAATTTACAGATTGAGAAAACTGAAACTCATGCAGGGGAGATAACTTGCCTAAATTTTCACACAGCTAGTGAATGGGAAGCCAAGATTATAGCCCAGTTTTGTCTGATACTAAAGACTATGGTCAAGCTAGAATGGCCCTTGGAGTTTACCTATATATGCTCCACAATGGATGCTTGAACATTTTCTGCAAGCTTCTCTATAAGTAGACTTGTACTCTTCAGGGAAAGGAAACTCACTTTATTCTGCACTGGCCAATTCCATGCTTGAGAAATTTGAAAATCCTTCCCTAAAAATGGTATTTACTCTGAGTTTTTTGATTCTTTGTTTTGTGTTTAATATAACTACTTTTGCTATAATTTAAAATAAATTAAGAATTGTTTTAAATCTATATACTAAATCTTCTTCTATTTCAGCTTTCATAGCATTCTCTACAAATCCAGAGCTGGCTAAGAGGATTAAGATATTTTTTGCATTGGCTCCAGTCGTCACAGTGAAATATACTAAAAGTCCTATGAAAAAATTAACAATTCTTTCCAGAAAAGTCATCAAGGTATGTAAATTCCTCAAGTTTAAATCTGCAGTAACTATAACAGCTCTATTTCCACTGATTTCGAAAGAAGAGAATCTGATGCAAATGACATTTTACAAACTTCTGAGAATATAATGGATGCTCAAGGGATCCATGTGAGTTTACTGATGTACAATTCTACCAATAGGGTTTAGAGAGCTGACACTGATGCCATTCTGTCCTGTTGACTTCATCTATGTCTAGAGGCTTCTCTACTGTGTCATTCCTCAATCACAGATAAAGCAAGACCTGATTTGATTGATTGATTTGTTTAATCTAGTAGGTTAAATTTCTCTCCAATGCTCTCTAGTTTTTCAGGGGCAGTATAGTGTAGTAGTTGAGATCACAGCATGGTGCCAGATGGCATGGGTATGAATCCTCGCTAGCTGGGTGAATTTAATCAAGACTTTAAGTGTTCTGGGAATCATTTTTTTCGTTTATAAAGTAGAGATAATAATAGTCTCTACTTTTAGGGATGCTGTGACGATTAAGTGAGTTCATACATGTAAATCCTCTAGAGACAGGTCTTGCACATTGTATGCCTTTAATAAATGTCAGCTACCATTATTACTGTCCTGATTTTCATAGAACATACTTCCCCCATCACTAAAAGTCCAACCTTGCTCAATTGCCCACACTTCACAGACTGTCAGTCTGTCAACTCCTCAAAACCTAGGCGTATCCTAGACCTCAGATTCTTTCTGCTAGCTGACAGCTAAGTAAGTTGATAATTTACTCAGTCAAGGAGAATTGGTCTATGTGGGTTGGTGTGTTTTCTTGTTGCATATTAACACGGATTTCTCCCATGGCAGACTGGAGGTGATAATATTGTTCAGTGATTTCAGTGAAAGCATATGAAAGTGAAACAATTTTTATAGAAGCCAGGGATTCTGGTTGGTGAGAGACAAGAAAAGTAGCCCATAGTGATTCAATTCCATACCTATACAACCCAGAAAGACAGTAGCAGGAAAGCTATCAGAACAACATGGAAAATGCTCACACTTCCCTCTTAGTACTTGGGTCTCTTACACTATACAGATTTCATTCCAGCCTGGTCCCACAATATTGGGTGAACAATATTGGACCTCTTGTTAAATTATTTCAGTATTCCACACAGTTAAGAGATATTTTGAGATGGTGGAATCTTTCCATTTTCCCCAATTTGCACAGCTCTACTTCAACCTTCCATATATTTTGACATGCCTGTGGTATAGCGCAGTTCAGTTCAATTCTCTGAAGAGATATCTAGGAGCTACTATTTCAAAAGCATAGCATCAGGAAACAGGTATGTCTATAAAGAGACTTTTCGGCCAATTGGTATGACTGAAAATGAGAGTGCATGTGAGAGTGGTGGAAGACTCAACTAGGGAGAGAGTAGGGGACAGTTAATGGAAAGCAATTAAGTCATGTTAAGGAATTTAGATTTGTTCTGTTGGTGATGGGAAGCCTTTGAAGAATGTGAAGCAGAGAAATGGATTGATCAGATTTGTATTTTTGGAACTACTGCCTTAAAAGGACTTTAACTCCAATAGAGGAGGTACACATATGACCCACTAATTTCTAATAGAAATTCTGGCATCATCTTGATGATAGAGCAAAGAAATTGCTAGACAAATTTAGAGAAAAGTGAAAATGTTTCTAATTGTTGGAATCACAGAAGACCTCTTGGATGAAATGGCGTTTGAGTTTGGGCTTAAAGACAAGATTTCAATACACAGGGTGCTGTAGAAAGTCTTTCCAAACCAAGAGGGAAATATGATCAACATTGCAATGGTGAAGTTCAAGCCATGGGAAACCTCATGGAACTGACTTTATTAGGGCTTTAAATTTGTGAAGACGAGTATGAGAAAGAATATTGGAAATGTAGGAGTAGATTATGAAAACATTTGAATGCCAAGTTAATAAATTTGGAATTTATTCTATAGGTAATGGATGACCATGGAAGGTATTTGCACAAAAAAATGACATGCATAATGCTCTTTTTTGGAAAGATTCTCCTGGTAACCAAATGAAAGTAGGTGGGAGTAAATGACATCAAGAGGGGCTAAATATGAGGAGAATTGTTATGGGATTATTGTTACAGTTCAGCTGGCAGATATTGGAAAACTGAAGCAGAGTTGTGCAAAAAGAAGATACAATCTACAGGATTTAACCATGAAATGATAGACAGCCTTATAGACATGGTATAAACTTTGAGAATGCAGGGCTTTCTCTTCTCTCCTATTAGCTAAATGTTTTCAGACATGTTGGAGAATGACTTCCTCTTTCACTGGAGAGATCATGGACTGAGATGAGCCTTTTAATATCTCTGATTAGAGAATTCTTTTTATTGATACTATCAGTTCTTTCCTATCCCTCCTTCAATTCAATTCAATTCAATTCACATTAGACACTGACATAGGGGCTTGAGTCAGACAGAATCAAGTTTACATTCTGCCTCTGCTTCCTGCCCTTTGTGACCTTGGGCAAGTTATTTAACTATTCTAAGCCTCAGTTTTCACGCTTATAAAATTGGTAGAATTTGAAGTTCTGATGTCAGCAAGATGGCATGTTAGGAGTTTCCAACACTTGTCTCCCCCACAAAAACAACAAGAACAATAAATAAACAACTGTGAGCTGACAGAAATAGGTCTGGGAAAGCCCCAGACTATAACAAAGTAGCAGCAGAAACCCTGGGGAGCTCAAAAACCAAGGATGGCTGCACAGAAAAGCACAAACAGCATTTTACCTGCACCACCCTATCCCACAATATAGAGCAGCTCAGCACCAAGAGGGATCCTCTCAGAGGGATTTTATCCCATAGGAGAAAGGAGAGCGGAAAACCCCCACAGGGCTCATTATTACTGTGGACACTTGCAGCTTTTGCTCTCAAGGATCCTCACAGTCTTCAACAGTGCTGAACCCAGCTGAAGAGCTGCTTGGAATCCTCATTGCTGTATCTCCTCCCCAGGGGTGGAGCTGTCACTGAGGTGAGACCTGTTCCCAGTGGCCCCAGTTGCTTCTATGCCCTACACTCTGGGATCAAGATATCATAGTGCCTTGCCATGTGTGGAACTGGAGCTGCCATTCCATTGCCCCCTACCTCCTGGGTCCCAAGTTATGGCTTTGATTGACCATTACCAGGGCCACACTGCTGCTACTCTGTGCTCTGGCCCCTGCGTCCTGAGTTAGACCTTGACCCAGCATCACTAGGGCCAAGCTGCTCTGCATCTGCCCCTTGGAGCCAGAGTTGGGACTCTGATCTGCCATTCCTAAGGCATGCTTCTGCTTCATCCTGCCACCTGGGCCCAAGCCACCCTCTCATCCCTAGGTCCATTCTGCTGCTGACTGTCCCAACCTCTCCTCCACCCCAGGGCTTGTGTCACTACAGAAAACACCAGAGACCCAGACTCCAGGTCCATAGGAGATCTGCACATGCCTGCATCTCAGACACTGGCATCACCACCACAGCAAGTGCAGCTGTGCCCTGACCTAGGTGCCATGGTAGTTCTGAACTCAGAATGCTGGCTTTGCTACTGCTGAGTACCAGTACACCAGACCTGGCACCAAGAAAGATACCCTCAGCTAGAGCTTTGTTTCATGGGCAAAAAGGAACAGAGGATATCAACAGCCTTTGTCACTGAAGAATACAATAACTCTGGCCACTACTACCACCTGCAGGACCTCCATAGTCTTGGCCAGTGAAGATCCCCACAGTCTTCACCACTGTTGGAGCTGGTGGAGCTGCACAGAGGCTACCACTGGGATCTCCCTGGAACCAAGACACTACACCCTATGAGCTGGTGCCATCACAACCACCTTCAGGTGAAAGTCTTTCCCATTGAAGCCAGTTTGAAAAGGCTGGCAGAGGTGACTGCTCCCTCAAACATGCAGATATCGACACAAAGCTATTAGAAACACAAAAACAAAGAAACATGACACCACCAAAGGAATGCAATAATTTTCTAGGAACTGAACCCAAAGAAATGGAGATCTATGAGTTACCTGAAAAAGAATTCAAAATAATTATTTTAAGAAAGCTCAGCAAGATTCAAGGAAACACAGATAGACAACTCAATGAACTAGGAGAAGGATGCATGAATGAATGAGAAATTCAACAAAGAGATAGAGATCATAAGAAAGAACCAAACAAATTCTAGAGCTAAAGAATAAAATGAATGAAATAAAAAATGGATGAGAGCTTCAACAGCAGTCTCAATCAAGAAGACAGAATCTCAATCAAGAAGACAGAATCTGTCAACTTGAAGACAGACCTCTTGATATTGTCTAGTCAGGGGAGAAAAAAGAAATAAGAATGAAAAAGAGTGAAGAAAGCCTATGTAAATTATGGGACACCACAAACAAAACAATATTTCCATTATGGGAGTTCCAGAAAGAAAAGAGAGGAAGAAAGGGGAATAAAGCTTATTTAAAGAAAAAACAGCTGAAAACTTCCCAAATCTGGGTAGATATGGTCATCTAGGTACATGAAACTCAGAAAACCCCAAAGGTTCAATCCAAAGAGATCTTCTCCAAGACACATAAAATCAAACTCTCAAAAATCGAAGATAAACAGAATTTTGAAAATAGCAAGAGGAAAAAGACTCATCACATATAAGGGAATCCCAATAAAGCTATCAGCAGATTTATCAGCAGAGATCTTGCAGGCCAGGAGAGCAAGGGATGATATATCTAAAGTGCTCAAAGAAAAATACTGCCAACCAAGAATACTTTACCCAGCAAAATTGTCCTTCAGAAATAAAGGAGAGATAAATACTTTCCCAGACAAACAAAAGCTGAGGGAATTTTTCACCACTAGACCTGCCTGAAAGAAATGCTACAGGGAGTTCTTCAAGCTGAAACAAAAGTATGCTAATCAGTAACATGAAAACTTAAGAAAATATATAATTCAGCGGCAAAGGTAAATATATAGTCAAATTCAAAATACTCTAATACTGCAATGGTGGTGTGTAAACCACTTTGAACTCTAGTGTGTAGGTTAA